ATTATTTGTGATTTATTGATGGTGAAGACATAATCTCATTAAACGTGTGACCAGTGTGGTCTAAGATGCTGCTTTCTTGCAATATGATTCCAGTTGTTTGTTGTACTTGTTTATTCTGATGTTTGCAGTGGTAATGACTTCAGTTGGTGGTGGAAGCTCACCACCTTATCAATAGCTGTAGATAATACTGAACTGGTTACCACATAGTTCACATAGACCAGTCTGCCAGCACCAGTTTCATACACAACTTTTTTTCAGTCAAATGAAGCTATACCACATACAATACACAAAGAAAAACTATCACAGTATTTTGGGTGGTACTTACAGAACTGTTTCCAAAAGGTTCACGTCTGAAGACATAAGATTACACAAATGCCTCTGAGGGTTTAACAGCAGTGTTGTGATACCTTGTAGTAGAGCAGGGCGATGTGACCAAAAATATTTATCACGATATACATTTGAAAATTTGCAATAACAATATAACTGACGATATAATTGACACCAGACAAAATACTTTACAACTCCACAACTTTATTAGTGCAAAAACCCCCATCGATGTATTTTCACTTAAACAAGCAGCTGTTTGTTTATGTGCATTAAAGTTATATAAAAATTTAACAGTGCAAATGCAAATTCCTTGCTGACAGTTTAACCAAAATGCATTTCGAGTGGAAATTGGCCGTCATATCCTCAGCATAACCATGTATAATATCCACAAAACTTAAAAAGAGGTTAAACGCACACACAATGTGGTAATATTATGTGGAAGCACAGTACGTATCACTCCGCGAGGCGCCTGCCTAATATAGCTGTAATGCGGTGCGGGTTCGTAGCTTAGCAAAGTCGCATTAAAACATTTTCGAGCGCCGTGTACGACATAAAATCGTTTCGAGGTCGGTAAACACAACCAGAATTCATACACAAGGCACACGGGATTATAAGGGGCACTGTCGATTTTCAGAAAAATCAAAGGATTGATTTTAAGTGTACCGTATTTTCCAAACAACACGGTAATAATGATGGCCTGCTAGCATGCTCTACCAAAAATAGTGCTTTGTTGTGTATCTGACGGACGAAAGCTAAACCAGTCCCACACCACAGAAGTTGCAGCATTTTTACAAACCAGTTCTGGTTCATTTCCTTCAACGATCCGCTTTCGCCCTTCTTATTCTGCGTCGCCGCCATGTATGTATGTAAACATAGGAACTGCGCATGCGCGTTTTACCCATATTCTATCGGGATATTTCATTTTCCTATCGTTGCCCAAAATTACCGGTATTACCGTGAACGGTGTGATATAGCCCAGCCCTACCTTGTAGAGGTTAAGGTCGGATCTGTCAAGCCAGTTGCTCAGTCATCTGTCATTACTAAACAAAAGTTAAACAAAATTGCTGTGTACACTTCATTTTTGCGTGACTGTGTAACAGATTGTTCTAGTCTAGTTGGTCACAGCAATGCAGAAGATTATATATATATGGCGACACATATAAAATGGGTTCATTACTAGGACAAATATCTTCAGTGCAGATTGGAATTACTTCAAATGCTTAAAATAATCGACAGTACGATGAATAAAATGTGGCGAGCAGAGTATTCACACCTTAACCAAAGTTCATGAAGTCTCAGATCCAGATCAAGGATGTCTCGGTGAGCCTGAGAAGGGTTGTGGAAAGTGTCTGCCCTTACTTTCTTAGACCCCGGAGCCTGTGATGGGAAAGGTTTCGAGCCTGGTGGAAGTTGTTGTGATGGAGATTCAGTGTTGGTACTTGTGTTTTACTTTCACCTGTTTGGCCGTCTGCCACAGCTGAATGGATTCTAGTCAGTCACACAAAAAGCAAACCACCCCCAGGCGCTCTCTGACCCTTGCCTCTTGGATTTCTTTGCAGAAGGCCAAGATGTCTGACTTCGACCGCTACAAGGTGATGAAGGCCAAGAGAATGGTAAGTGTGGCAAAAACACAAAATGCCTCAAATATGTGAGCCAAGTAAGCAAGCAGAGTGGCTTCAGATTATTCCTGAGGTTCAAACACTGGAACCCTCAGCTCTGATATTTCCTGCCTGTTAAACATGCTCTTTGAGGCTGCACTGTCACTATATACACACATGGTTAGAGCTTCTGAGGTTAGTGGATAGTGATTTAGTTAGTGATTGTGCCAGTAAGCAGGGTGCAGGTCAGTACTGTTTATCCTCCAGCAGTCACTGAATATTTTTTAATGCATTCTGTTTTGTTTTTTCCTTTGCAGAGGAACAAGATCATCAAGCATGAGGTGAAGAAGCTGCAGAAGGAGGCTGCAAAGAAGTGAACAGTTTCTACAAAATAAATGTCCTGTTCAATTGTTCTCCTGTTGTCTTCTCTTCTTTTATCATCAGATTGAAACTGCTTTAGACCTTTAAACCTGAGCTGCTGGTACATAGAAATATCAAAACCCAAATTTTGATATGAGGACATTATCCCTAAAGTTTCCAAAGCTTCTGTGAACTCAGAAAAGTAACTGATGTAAAAACATAGAGCAAAGTAATAGAGTAAATGTTCTTAAAGTATTGGGTAAAATTTGTAATCACGGCTTATTTGAAGCTTTGAGACGCGATGTCTACAACACAGAGTTGGCTGCTTTCATAAAGTTATTTTTTTTTGTAATTCTAATATCTGTGCTGACCACCTTAAATTAAATATTTCATCTGGGCATATGGCCTCCTTTACAGTAATGCTTAAAGTACTGAAATGAACAACCAAACTTTAAACTTAAGAATTCAAAATAAAATGTTTTTTTTAAAGATCAAAGATCCATAATATCCAGGCTTGTGTCTGTAACCAAGCTGGAGTCATAACACTGTTAACATGAGCAAAATGCAGGATGTGCAGGACTATAACTGTTACAGTCAAATATATATGGACCTGTGAGCAATGCCTAAGTTTGTTTTACATTAAGCTGATGCAGGAACATACTTGTAATACACAGTGGTGCATAAAAATGAAGCAGAAAGCAGGAAATGAAGTGTTTGTGTAATAACTCATAAGCAGCCCATCACAATCCCTGTCAATGTATTACAAACTATAAACATTCCAGCGACACTGGTGTAATCACTATAAGAGTAATAAATGTACAAAAGGTCATTTCTGCCCAGTGTACTTTAATCTGTATATGTCTTACTTATAGGCTATCTATTATACCTGGGATCAAGGTTAACCTATCCAACCACACTTAATATGACAACTGACAGTCAACTAATCATTTAACGTAAATACTTCCGTTTTTAATTACTCTGTGCTTCCTAATTTAGCCTCAACGTGTCGCTAAAGTGATCGTTGGAGTGTAAGGCAAAAAAACCCAAACAAACATAAAAACCGAGCGCCAAGAACCATTTTGTCACTTGGCCACTAGATGGCAGTCTTGGTTAATCTTGGCTGATGTAGTGGAGCATAGCCTCTTTGTCTCTTCATATTTACTTAAAAACTAGTGATAGTTTTTCAGATGTTTAAATCTGATCCACTAAATGCAAAGCTGACGTGCGTCATTTTGCTCAGTAAATCATTTGTTTAAATAACTGTTAGCTGTGAGATGTTTAGTATGGTAATTATGTGGTAAAGCACAGAGCAGCTTTGCACCAATTCTTTGAAACAGATTCCCCACTTTTATTTTTAAAGAGCTTTTTTATAGAGCTCCCCAGTCCTGGCTGAAATAAGCCACCATTTTGGGAGATGCTGTCATCAGCCAAACAGGTTCCTCTTCAAACCTCAGAGAGGAGCTTGTAAATATTACATAACAGCGCGCTTGAACGTCTCCCAGCTGGTTGGGTGCACAGAGCAGGGACACGGAGATAATGCGCCCGAGGACTGGAGGAGGCCTGCAATCGGAGGTCCGATTCACAGCTGCTCTGGTTTTTACAGTATCATTAAAACACAAATAACGATGATAACGAGCCTTTGTTCTGTTTTGGGGCCGAGCCACATTAAACATCCCGGGATATATTTCACCCTGAAAGCGTTAAATGACTAATGCCGGGCTGTAGAGCAGGAGCACAGGTCAGTTAATAAGAAATGAGATAAAGTATATTTAGTGTTGTTATCGTGGGCCCGATAAACACGCTTTTCTCTGAGCGTAGCTCTGACGTCAGAGATGAATGGTACCAATGCGCAGTGATCATGGAGCCGTCATTTACCCGTGACAAGACCGGAAACGCTCTCTAATGTCTTTCAAAATAAAACCAAAGTAAAGCTCCATTTTACGTCAGGTTTCCTCTTTATTTCCATTAGAACAGCAAAAATCGGAGGCAATGTTCAACATCTGAAGGAAGACAATAAAAAAAGAAAGATTTCTGTTAATGGTATTTTTTTTCTTTAATACTTTGTGAAATTTTAAAGAAAAAAACATAATTTTTGTTGTCATGCATTTTAGTACGTCACATATCTATAATGCAAAAGGATTAAGCACGTTTGCTGACTTGTCCGTGTGAATGTACTAGTTTAGTTGCCCTGATACAGATTTCTTCCTCAAAATATTATCAAACTTTGTAAGATTTGGAAAAAATTTAAATAAATAGCGAGAAAAACCTGCAAACACTCGAGCCCCAAACTGTGCCAAATCCAGAAAGTTCAATTCAAATCAGATTGACTTATATGGCGCCAAACCACAACAACACCCACCTCGAGGTATTTTATACTGTAAGGTACAATAATAGTGAGAAACCCTTAAAATCAAACGACCCCCTTGCAGAAGGGACTTGGGAAGGGACAGTGTTTAACAGGAAGAAACCTCAGGCAGAACCAGACTCAGGGAAGATGAGACGGGATTAAAAAAACACATTAATCTCTGGGGAGAGTCAGAGAATGAACTAATGAAACTATTAAATGTATTTTAAATACACGTATCCGAGTGATTATTATTTTCCCGCAGTTTTTGAATATGTTTTTTAAATTCTGTATTATTTGTTTATCTATTTTCGCACATTTCCCACACTAGTTCCTTTACGCTTTTATTTTGAAAGCCACACGCCCTCGATCGGCCTGCCCTCTGTGTTTACTTCACGCAGCTGAAAGCTCGGGGAGGGAGAGGGAGAGAGATCCTGAGTTGACAGTGTGACACATTAACACGGGGACTCGCTGGAATGATCCGTGGCCGGTGTGCTGTCCTCGGTACCGGGATTTTCACTGAACTGCGGTCTCGTTAAAACCTTGCGGCTCACCGTCCGGAGCCCCGCGCGCTCCCGCAGGTGTAAATGTGCCAGAATGGACGCTGCTTCAGATTCCTCTGTGGTGAGTAGGACTGCTGTAGTTGCAGGCATTCTGGCGGTGTTTTGGGGGGGGGGGGTCTTGTGTAGTAAAGGTGTGTTAAGTCAGCTGGGCCTCCTTTGGGTTTGAGCTGGGGGGCACTTTCCCCTCACTGCGCATCTTTCGGGTATCATTTTAGCATGCTGCCCGTGTCCGCTCGCCTCTCGTATGTGCGCCGTTTGCGCAGGCTGCTCTTCTCCGCACTGTCATGTTGTTGTGGATGCAGCCAGCAGGCATGTTGACAGTTGGCTGGTCCCATATGGGCAGTAGCACCTATGCGGGTGTAGGGAAAAAATAAAAATGTGAGAGATAAAAGGCAGGGTGGTCATCTAACAGCTTTAAGACAGAAAACCGCTGAGATTGATGAATCCGGTGTGAGGGGCGCATGAAGTGTTTCCCGTGGTATAGGGAAGCTAGTTTACAGGGATGGAACTTTATTATACACCTTCAATAACATACAGAGGAGACATGGAAGTGCGGGTTACAGAGCTGAAGGAGGCTCATGGTGTTGTAGTGTACTTCTTATATGCATGAGGGATTGCTGGCACTCTAATGTTCCTGTTATTTCTGTATTAGTTTGTTATACAACCACTGTCATTTACTGGCACAGCAGGAACATAAAAACGAAAATTAATGCAGATAAAGTAGAGCATCAGGGTCAGGGATTTATCAGAGCCGCGTTGGAGGCTAAATTGCGTGTCTTTGACCCTGAAGCAGGAACTGTTTACTATCAAAGAGTTTGCATGTGAACAATGGTGCTTATATTTAGCCTATTGGTCTATACTTTAATCAAATGTACCAGGAAACTGATTTTACTATTAACCATAGATTTGATGACCCCACACCCTCTTCCAGTTTATCTCAAGTCTCACAGGCTGGGAGTCTGGAGCAGCAATTATAACAGGTCCTTGGCCTCATAATCTGCGTATGTGTACTTTTGTGCACGCAAGTACACACGCGCACACAAACCTTGTAAATCAATACTCCATCATCACCTTGGACCGGTTACACAACCAATGTCTTTGCATGCATGACTGGTATACAGTTGTACAGTATGTTCACATGTCGCAGAGACTAGAGGGATGGCTGGCTTTGTTGTTAAAAAACAAACAAAATTAAAAAAAAGAGAGCAAACTTCACCAAAAGTGCATTTTTGTACCTTGTTGTTGTTTCCATCACCAGGCGTTAGACTGGTCTCAGTCTGCTGAGATAAACATGAGGTCTAGATTTAGATGGGCTAATGTCAACGCCCAGGTTTGCTTATCAGCACACAGCAACGCACATTGACCTCACCTAACTTGCCCTATCATCAGACGAGTGCATCAGTGTGTGCGCTCTTGAGAGGACTGTGTGTGTGTCTGTGTGTCTCCTTTCTTTTCTTCAGTGTCTTGAAGCATTAACACCTACATGTTGTCGTTGTCAAAGAGGCAAAGAGTTGAGCTCTGTTGATATTACTTTGCGTCTGTGTGTGTGAGTGAAAGAAAAATCAGAAAGATGAAGATGTCAGCCTCCTATTATAAGAAACATGACTCACTCTTTTCTCACAGGTACATTTCTCCCAAAAAGCCCAAAGAGCGTTTTAGGCTTTCATAGTCTGATTTAAGCAACCGCAGACTGCTACTAGGTTAGAGCCGCTTTTATTTTGCTTTTCTTACTGTATTTAGTTGATAGGTGTGTCCCCTGACAACACCTGTTTGGAAATGTGTTGTCTTTTAAATTCAGGTGAGTTGGACACACCTAGGCGAGGATCAGTACACAGGAATGTTCTTGGCCTGCAAATTGTGTGTTTTGTGTCGTCGCCATGCTCCTGGTATGCAGGTTCTTGGAAGCGGAATGGCATGCCTCCCCTGCAGGCATTGTTTCGTAATCCAGGGCCGTGAAGCAACACACTGCATGACGAGAGAAGCTTGTGGCAATCGGGGCAGGGGCGTCTGACATAAGCGTATCAGAATTTGAGATGAACTAGTTTAGTTTGTCATCTTGGGCAGGCAAAAGGTGACAGATAGAAAATCAAAATGTAGCCTGTACAGTATCATTCCTGAGCTAATGTGAATCAGGAGAAATAATTGAGTGGCTTGCTAGAGTGACGGAAAATGATGTGGCAGATGCTTTAATCTTTAATGAAGTTTGTAAAATTGTAAAAAAAAAAAATTTGGTGGTTAGTATAACAGATGGACACCGCTACCGTGAGGTAACCCATTCAAATTTAAAGTCTCTTCTTTGCTTGTTCTGTAATATAAAACTCAATTAACATATTGTTTGAAAAATAATGAAAGTCTCAAAATAAGCATTTTTGCTATAACCATGTTGGGATTGGAAGATCTGACTGGGAAACCCAGCCCTCACCAGCTGAGACCTTAGCCAGAGAACATATGTGCAATCCTCCGTTGTGATCATGATTTCCAAAATGAACTTACTGTAGTCCAGTCTCTCATTGGAGTTGCTCGATAAAAACCAAAATGAGATCATTTTAATGATCATTTGGATTTGAATGAGACTCTAAACTAATCAGGAAAAGTGTTTCCACAAGTCAGGGCTCAGGGAGTTTTCCCCCATTGACTGCTGTAGGACCAGAAGTCTTTTTGCAACCACTGGGTTTTCCCCCTGGTGGTTATTAAATGCCACTTTAAGGCACTTCCTTGTTGGCTTTTTAGGCACAATTTCTTACAATATGTAAAAAGAAAAAGAAAACAAAGAAATAACCTAATTATAAAAAATAATACAAGTTTTTTGAGCCCTTAAAATAACAGTGCATATGTCCTAGCCTTTTATCCTGCACAGCACTGAGACAGTAAATGCAACTCAGAGTAGGTGTAGTGTTTGTCTGTTGGCCAAAAACTACATGTATGAATGTAACATACAAATGTGAGTCAAAACATGATCAAAAGTCAATCTCCAAATATCCTCTCTGAATATAAACTTGTCACTATATTTCCTAATGTACTGTGTTGGGTTCTCCATATTTTATTGCTATTTTCTGTTTTCATTTTTTTAAATTTCATAGCAAATAAAGACACTTTAAAAAAAATTGATATTATAAATGTAGTTGATTTTGCTGTTTAGTTATACCTTAAAATATGTCAGTCTGTTAGTTTTTTTCTGATTCTGGCAGACAGCAATCCCATAGTCTATAATAGAATATAGATTTTTGGATAGGATGGGCTGTTGAACACTCATGGTCTCTGCTTGCTGTTCCCTGATGTTACTCTTAGTTCAGAGTTATAATTTATCCAACACTAGTTTATGAACAAATACCTACAAAGCTAATGATATTGGTTTTAGTTATGCTTTGTTTTGTTTTTTTTGCACAATGAGATGCTGACCATGACAAACCACGACTCTTCAAGTTTTCTCCAAGCACTGTTAAAGATAACCTTACATAACAACTGGACTTTAGACTCTTGGCTCACTCTCTGCAATTCGAGCTATTATTATTATGATACTGTGGCCTTGGTCCAGCTAATGCCAAAGTAATGAGCAGTAATGGTGAGCAAATATTAGTTCATCAGACAGGTTCATGATCCATTGTTTAGCAGAGTAAGTGACTATTATCATGAGTGGCTGTGTTTTGGTTTCTTGTATCTCTTACTGTTTTCCCCGTTCTCACCCTCAGATCATAGCGAAGTGGGACTGAACTGAGTGGAGCACTCAAAACCCGAAATATTTGCCACAACCAGTTGAGTATCTTGCTATCAAATCTACCACAAGGAGATCAACAGTTAGCCCAGAATTAGCTCAAACACCACCACCACCAACCTCACGTACGTTCAGCCTAATCAGGAGAAGATGAAGGACTGACAGCCGAAGACCGGCAGGTGACAGAAGGCAGCTCCGACCTCCCCATCCGCCAACCGCCATGGCGGGGCTGAAGCGCCATCATGATGGGAAGATTGCAGGGCTGTACGACCTGGACAAGACGTTGGGTCGTGGACACTTTGCTGTGGTCAAACTGGCCCGCCATGTATTCACTGGAGAAAAGGTATGCTCGTCCAAGTCCGTATATGCAAGTTCAATCATTTGTTGGCAGTTACTAGATTTCTTTTAAAAAATACTTTTAAAGACGTCACCCTTGTTCTTAGAAACAGGCATACCACAGAAGGGTGACTGGGAGCACTGATGAGACTAAATATTTCTGATAGTGTGATTCTGTTCTTGGTGGACATCAGAACATCTGTACTAGCTCTACTAAGCACCTCTAAGTGAAGATAATACAGTCTCACTGTTTCTGTGCAAGTGCTTCAACAGCTGCTGACGTTACCAGTGCTGCTATTGTTCTGATCAGTTCTAACTTCTGTCTTTCAGGTTGCGGTGAAGGTGATCGATAAGACGAAGCTGGACCCGGTCGCACGGGGTCACCTTTTTCAGGAGGTGCGATGCATGAAGATGGTGCAACACCCCAACGTGGTACGCCTCTACGAGGTCATCGATACAGCCACAAAGCTCTACCTCATCTTGGAGCTGGGCGACGGAGGAGACATGTATGACTGCATCATGAAACATGAAGGAGGCCTCAGCGAGGAGGTTAGTGGGGCTAATGAACATGCAGAGGTGTCCTTCATGCAGTCTACCAAACCTTGAGTTACTTCTTTGTTTCTGTACTTGATCTTGGGTACTTGAAGAAAGACCCTTAACACATTAACCCTAGAACACTATCGCTGGGTGATTTACACCCGAGAAAATACATTTACATGATTTCTCACTCCTGCAGCTGTTTGCGTGTCGAGGAGCCTGTGCCATCACCAGGGAAGTCTCAAATGTCCCAGGAATGGGTGGACCAAAGACCAGCTTTCCAGAGTCATTATTTTGTTTTAGGAGTTTTATTTTTCATTTTGTTAGATATGGCACAGTTGAAAGTAAAAGAAGACCACTCTAATTTGTCATGTGTTGTCATATTTTGATATATTTGATTACTTTTCATTGGTTATATTATACCGGGTATAAATCACCCGGCATTAGTGAGCGTGTTACTATTTATAGCGATAGTGCTCTAGGGTTAATTTAGTTTATCTGGAGATGGGAAGGGAAGGGAAGGGAAGCATTTTTTAAAAGAACAGAATTTGGTTGCATTGGTTTGGTTTATTTCTAGCTAGTATGAAATTGTGAGGAAATATAGTGAAGAATAGTTCAATGGTAGCCAGAAGCATTATATATGCAGATACTTGGAAGTTAATAAATTCTAGACATAAGTAAGCAACAGTGATGCTGAAAGCAAGAACACTGTAACTAAAGGAGGGCAAAAGGGGTCTTTATTCCATATTTAGCGGCGAGTTGAACAAAATTCCTTTGCAGATGCAAATTTTGTTTATCACAACATTGCATACAGGCAACATATGTTCAATGTGACACGTGAAAGAAAGATGATAATCACATTTGTAATAAATCTTTTATAAAAACATATAGTTGTTAATAATCACTGTATGTTTGACACTGGTTGTTCAAAGTTCCCTTCATATTTTCTTACGTGTTTAAGAAGAGATGGGGTCGTGCCTAAACGAAATAAAAATTCTTCATACAAGCACCTCTAAAACTCACTAACTGCATAATAGTTATGTTGTCTGTTTTATCAGGAAACAAAAGTGGAAAAACAAAGTGTTTGCCATGTTTCTGCGATCGTTGATTAGCTATTCCGGTCTTCTTGCTAAGCTAGCTAGCTACATGTACTTTCTGGCCACTTCAGAAAAACAGGAACAAGTTGCAAACACCACACTAACATTAGTAATCTGTTGGAGTTAAATATTCAAGTTTGAGTCAAATTTTCCCGCTCTAATTCTGCAGATCCTGACTCTTTATCTATTCCAAACTTTTCTCAAGCTAACTCTTGCTAACTTCTTTTTAGTTTGCTGTTTGTTTTCTGGGTTTTGGAGCATTTTTATTGTATTTTTTTACATTTGTCTCTTCTCTTTAAGGTGGCCAAGTGTTACTTTGCCCAAATCGTCCATGCCATCTCCTACTGCCACCGGCTACATGTGGTGCACAGGGACCTGAAGCCTGAAAACGTGGTGTTCTTCGAGAAGCAGGGTGTCGTCAAGCTCACTGACTTCGGGTTCAGCAACCGGTTTCAACCTGGGAAAAAACTAAACACCTCCTGCGGCTCACTGGCCTACTCAGCGCCTGAAATACTGCTGGGGGATGAATACGACGCTCCTGCTGTGGGTAAGTCTGAAGAAGTGACAGAGAGTAGCTGCTGGGGTACATCTGTGGTGATTTATTTTAGTTCCTACAGCTTTAGCTTTACTAAAACAGGACACCGTCTGAGTTGTTAGTGCAGTGTTGTATCAAGCAGCAGCTCATATTCACATTCAATCACCGTCTCAGCTGTGATAGCTCTGACCAAGCTATATGGCCTGCAATGGTTTGTAAGGAACCTGTAGACCTGCTTGGCACACTGCCGGTATTATCAGGCAGCTGATAGAAGGAGAGGAGCTGTTCAAAGTTCAGAGCATGATAGCATACCTTGAAGCCTGGAAATGAGATGATCCACAGCCCTGCAGTCCTGCACCTGCAGTTTATTTCTGTCTGCAGTTTGCTTTCATTTGCCTCTCTGTGAATAACAAAATCTGATATCAGATCGGGCTGAAATTGGTTTCTCAGCACTCTCTTCTTCTGTAATTGGAGCGCGCACTCACCTCACCATCAGTGTCACCACCACCACCCCCCAACACCCCACCCCAACATCGTCTCTCCCATCAATGGTGCTTCCAGTTCTTGCTGCTGAGGTGCAGTTAAGATATTGAATTATATTGTAACGGAAAACAAATCAAACATAATTGTGCAGAGTGAGGGAAAAGAGGGCAAGAGAAAGAAAGGGAAGTAAGAGGGAAACTGACAGAGCGAGAAAAAGGCATCAGGAGTCCCTCTGTCTACCCAGAGGCCTCTCTGTCAGGAGCAGGAGAAAAGCATTTTCTGTTTTTCTGACTGAGTGGATTTGCAGTGGCTATTTTCTTCTCTCTGCCTTCACTGCCTCTCACTCTCTTTTGTGCCAAGCGGCGTCCATATTTTGAAAGCAATAATAGTCTTATTTGACTGCGCGTGTGTGTTTTCGTATGGATGATGTGTGAGTTGCTAAATGTGTGGGGCCTGTCTGAGCACTTGTTAGTGGACATTTTGCGGCGTGTGTGCGTTTGTTCTCTGGACCGTGCATACTGCCTGTGCACTATTGCTCATTCAGCTGAGATGATGATGTTTTGATTGCAGGGATTATCCACCCAGCCGGGATGTAATATTGTGTGATTGTATCAGCAGTGCTGTCTGATGGGCGAACAGGCTAAATGGAGGCCAGCAGTCCTGACGTTCAGGTCTTTGAGGAAACCTGGGCTGGGATTACACTGCTGCCAGGCTACCTGCTGACAGTCTGTAGGGCAACTGAGCTTTTCCGGTGACTTGCCATGTGGCGGTCGCCCCAGTTTGTTGCAGAGATAAGAAGCTGTCCTCGCCTGGCTTTCTCACTTCGGGCCTGCTTGGCATTGGTTTTTGTTTTTTTTCAGGAAGTGCTGAAAATATTTTGAGATTAAACATGAGTCAGTCCTGCAGATTGTGCAGAAGGAGCCAATTTGCAGGAGGCAAACACTCCAAGCTTCAAGCAAACCACACAAAAACTATAATTATTTATAAATGGTGTCACATTGCTTCAAATTTAACTTCTTCATCTCTTAGCTCTCACAGTTTTTCATTAGAGGTTAGTATGCTGTTTATTGTTGCTTGTCACTTAATGAAATATCAGAACATAGTGAAAATGCCCATCAAACCTTACTGCTGTATAAATGTAACTAACAATCACTCTGTATTTAAAATACTTGTTTTTGTCACTCAGTGTAGCGATTTCAGCCTTAAGTTGAAAAATGAATGGGTCATGGCAGACTAGAAGTGAAATTAAAAGGAAAATTGAGACCCAGATATGTGCGCGAAACGGTATTCTTCTATGAAAAACTTAAAATTAAATGATTTTGTTGGACAAATGAGTCCTCTCTGTAAATATTCTTCGGTGTGTGGGCTCCCTCCTTTTTGTCTTCAGTAAATGGAAAGTTAAATATAGATTTCCTCTTCCTCTTCATGAAGCACAACCTACACCTAAAAAAGAAATAACTTACCTAATAGTGATTATTCTGGGTACATGCATACTTCAAAGCATATCTATGCATAATGACCATACATAAATGGAAATGTTTATTGATTGATTGATTGATTGATTGATTGATTGATTGATTTAGAAGAAGATGTTGTATAAAGATGAGTAGGACAGGATGCTTGAGTTGGCCCACTCAGTGTTCAGGGTTAACCCGGTGAAGACAGGACTGGTTATCCTGTTGGTTATCATTGTTAAAACGGTGTTCAGGGCAGCAGAAAGGATGTTTACACTGCCAGCTGTCACCAATAAAGAGTCGGCGTTGTTAGCGAGAGAGATGCTGATGTGCGCTGACGCGAACAGTGTTATCCAGAGATGTGTGAGCCATCTGGTTTATAAATAAAGTTATCGAGGAAGGAAGTTTGGCCGTCCGCTGACGCAAGTAATGAGGGAGCAGGGTCGCGGTTGCTAGGATACGTTGGTTGGGGGTAAGGTGGCAGTGGGGGCTGCAGCAGCATTTGCTCCCTCCATCAGCAGTATGGAGCACTCTTTCACTGCCTCAAAGCAATAAATCCTCACCACCCACAGTAAACTGCCACATTTACTCCACCAGATTGAACTCTCCTGCGTATCCTGGCAAACTGGAGTGATATGAAGACGTATCACCAGGGGTCCCGAGCACTGTAAACCCACTTCCAATCTGTTTACCTCCTTTTTTTGGGTCTTCTCAAACTTCCGAGTTAGAAGAGCACAGGTTTTGTTCAGATAGTAATTGTAGCATGCTGTACCATGTGCTGTTCCTTTGAGAAAACCATGGACTGTATATAAAAGGTGGACATAGCTACAGCGACATCACCCATTGCTTTTGCACTCCCATTTTAATTTTTTTAAATTATTATCTTTTTACGGTTTGCTTTTTTGTCTTTTTTTTTTAGCTAGAAATTGGCATATTTGGGCGCGAGGATTGAGTGCTAGCAAGCTTGTTTAGGACCTAGCTACCTGCTATCTAGTCACACAGGAACTCACAAAATGACTGCACTGCAAAAGCTGGTTTTATTACATTTATCATCACCACTCTTGTCTAAGTTCTCAGTCATGCAGGTCATGATAGTCTAAGGAACTTGGGAAGAAAACGACTGGACTTCTTTAAGTTTTGTCCAAGAAGCTTCTTCAGTTCTAAAACCAAATGGTGGAGAGTCCCAGGTATTAAAACCCTAGTGGGGGCTGTCCCTTAGGTGGTGGTTGTCCCGCTATTAGTCATGTGTGCCATCACATTAACCAAGGTGTGAAAAAAGCTGTGGGTCTTTACCACAGATCAGCTAGATCAGCTAATGCAAGATGTGAGTGGGGGTTGAGGCACCTGAGAAGGAATTTTAAGACTCCATTGTAGGTGGGAGACAGTTGGTGTTGTAAGCCATGCCCACTGATAAATGATGGTTGTTCACAGTGGTCATAAATAGCCTCCTTTACTCCTCTTTCAAACCATTTGTCTTCTCGGTCAAAAATGGAAACATTGCATAGCATCTTCGACCTCTGCTAGGATTTAAATACCTGAGACTCTCCACCTTTTGGTTTTAGAACCGAAGAGGTCTCTTGGCTGAGCAGTGAAATGTCTTCAAAACTTAAAGAAGCCTAGCTGCTTTCTTTCCAAGTTCCTTAGGTCACCACTCTTCTAAACACTGATGTAATGCCTAAACACTAATAGTGAAAATTAGCACCTAGCTAGCTAACAAACACAATGAACTAGCTAATGAACAAAGAGTATCTCATAGCTGACAAGGGCCCAAATTTATCTTAGGAAAGTCTAAAAAGTAATCTAAAAGGAGCGAACAGCTTGCAGCTTGTTCCACAGTTGCTAGTGACATAAAATAATTTATTTCAGTTTGAAAACCAGATGCTAACTAGCATCTCTTTAGCTTTCATAATGTGACTTATTTCAAAGTAAAATGGAACATGTTTGTGGGGTTTAATGTAGATGTGGGCAGATCGATCCAAATATCCACAGTATCAATACTGTCGATATTGTACTGATATCATATTGATATCCTATCCTCCAAGTTCAGTATTTGGTTTACCTAATAAATTTGTTTTTTCTGGAAATGAGAAGATGCCTTTTTGTGTTGACTGTCACATCTATTTTACTTACAACCTATTGATTGCACATTTAAACAACACATGTCGACCCGAAGTGCTTTAAAGACAGCACATTTACATTTCAGGTCCAAAAAAACACAGTTTCAAAATGCATGAAAAGCAGAAATGTGTATTTTGTTGTTTAAACTAATTATTGTAAAAAGTAAAAACCTCAGTAAAATTGCAAATTGATGATGATTCATCTAATCATGACACAGTGGTCTCACCTACATAAGCTGACTTTATAAGTTAAAAATATCAGTATCAGTTTTGGTGTTGGCAATACTGGCCCTGTATTTTGTGGGTATCGGATTAATGTCAAAATTTGAAGTGTCGCACACCACTAGTTTAATGGTCAAATGCATTTTATAGATGTGTGATTAAATCATTTTAGGGTTAAGAAATGATACAGGTGCTAAATTAAACCTGGATTTTGTGTTTTTTACTTAAGTCAATCTTAAGAGCAGACAAAGCTTACTATGAAATTTGCTGAAAATGGGTCAAAACCGTGACTAAGACCGAGTCTGCTTGCTTTTATGTCGCAGCCTCTGCTCGCAGTCTGTATATGACAGCAGAATGTGTGTCAGTGGACCATCCTGCTGACCCGAGCAGCAGTGGAAGCCCTGAGCAATAAAGTTGCTCTTTTGAATCAGACCAAGAGAAGCGTTCCATAAAATTAGCATTTGTATGAAGCTTTGAGGGATGAACACGTTAACCCACTTTCCCTGGACGGCGCGTTTGTGTGGAAGCGCGTGCACCAGTGTAAGTGTGAGCATGACGCTGGCGGCAGGCAGCAGCACTGAGCTTCATCCTCGGTTAGACAGATGTGTCCTAAGCTGGCACACATTCATGGAAATGGCTCTGATCGAATATGATTCATGCTTCATTTGAACTTGGGGAAGAGACAGCTTTTGTTTTTTTTTGGGGCGGGGGGTTCTTCTTTATCTAGGTCGCTAAGCAGACAGAACATGCGGGCTTCACTTAGTTGATCAGTCATCTTTATTTTCTGGCCTTCTTACAAAAACAACAGCTTTTTTCTGACCGTAATGACTTGTTCATTATAAACTGACCACATTCTCTCTCTGTGTCTCTGCAGATATCTGGAGTCTGGGCGTGATCCTCTTCATGCTGGTCTGTGGTCAGCCCCCCTTTCAGGAGGCTAATGACAGCGAAACGCTCACTATGATCATGGACTGCAAATACACGGTGCCGTCGCACATCTCCCATGCATGCAGAGAGTAAGTAACAAGCGCACGCACATAGCCGCAAAGATGGACAGAGTACTCTGCAGGTGCTGCATATTTCATGTTTGTAGATGTGTGAAGAAAAGAGAGCAAAGAGAGAGGTGCGGTCTCCCTTCGTTGTCCTGCTTTCACTCAGTGCTGCAGTCAGCTGCTCCACCAGAGATGCAGTGCTGCGTTAAGTGTATCTAATGCACCCTTTAAAATTGGACTTCTATTTTTAACATTGTGAGGGTTTAACGATGAGTCAAAGCAGAGCTGGGCGAAATAGTTGCAGAATACATTTTGAACGGCTGAAGCTTTGCAGACACATACTGTTAGTGAACATGGCTTCATTGGGTCAGGTTGACTTTCACAAAGCACCCCAAATATTGGCACGTAGCCCAGTTTGTGTGATGTTTATTTGAACCCTCATCCAAATCTATTGCCAACGTGGGCCTGATAAAACAGCACTTCTACCTATTTGTTTGGGGGATTTAGCCAGTGGATTTAGTATATCTTGCTAAGCCAGAGTGCAAAAAATAAATAGCTTGTATGCAGACCCAAACAGGGTTCTTTCAGTACTGCTATTGTTTGGAGGAGAAACACGTGCAGTCAGATATCATAAGTGCTAACTTCTAATCAGTCTAGATTAGGTGCATTGATAATTTGCAAGAGAAAACGCATCGCTTCATAATCCTGGCTCGTTTGTTAGCTGTGCGGCTAGCAGCTGAATAGGCAACACCCTGTTCCACTCGTGTGTAGGTGTACAGCATGCACAGTTTGTTGGAAGCTCTGCTTGCTGTACACCTACTTGTATTACAGGCCTGGAGGCTTGAACTCGTGCCAGGAGGTTAGCTGTTAGGTTAGCTGATAAAGATTAAGAGCCTACTGTTGCTATGAGCTATTTTACACATATAAAAACAATAAGTACTTAGAAAAAGAATAAAGAACCAGACAAATGAGATACCTTAGTTCTGTCCCATCTGTAAGTCTGTTCAGTAACATGGCCAGGTTTGGACAAAACCCTGCAACTGTAATAAATTAAAATTTTCTATTACCATCCATTCTTATTTCATTCGTAACACCAGTTTCTGCCTTTTAAACATTCCTACATCAACGACCAGCTGTTTCTCTGGTGCGTCAGGAGTACTTACCTCCACTGTGATTCCCTCCAGTCTTATAGGCCACATGCTGCAGAGAGACCCCAAGAAGAGAGCGACCCTAGAGCAGATTGAGAGCCATCAGTGGCTTCAAGGTGTCGACCCCTCCCCAGCCACAAAGCTGTCTACTCCTCTGGTGTCCCATCGCAGCTTGTCGGAGGAGGAGCATGGCTCCATCATCCAACGCATGGTGCTCGGGGGCATCGCAGACAGAGACGCCATAACTGAGTATGTGTCCCTCTCTCGTACAATCACACATAAGTAAAAATCAATGCAAAGCTGTTCTATCTTGTATAATCTCCGAAGATTCGTCATGGTTCACTCGTCCCACTGAAGTGTAATTGAGTGTCTTCAGCAGTTTAATTGGCATTAACAAGCAGCTGGCAGTCAATCCTGAGCTGTCAAATTAAATCTCCACTCCCGTCACTTCCCTTTTCCACTCACGGGTGGGGTGAGGCGTTGATCTGTGTTCCATATATGTGTGTGCGCGTGCATACTTTTGTGCATTTTGGACCTCAATTTGATTTCTGTCTCCTCCGTCACAGGGCTCTGGAGTCTAACCAGTACAATCACATCACAGCTACCTACTTCCTGCTGGCCGAGAGGATGCTGAGGGAGAGACAAGAGAAGGAGCAACACAGCCAGACACGATCACCCAGCCCCAGCAAGGCCCAATTCAGGTACACACACACCCCAGCGCACATACACAAACATTTCCTGAGACAGACAGAATGCTGCCTCTGCAGTGCTGCGTACTGTCAGTTTACGCAAAACAAGTCTGACAGAGGATGGACAGACGGAGCCCTTTTTTTTTCAGCAGGGATTGAAGGACACACTGAGAATAGAAGAGAGGCTGCAGATCAGCAACACTGTGAGGGATGTGCTACCAGAAATATCCTGCAACAGAACAAAAGCAGCGTCTTTTTATTTTCTCTTCTGAGAGACTGAATCTAACATTGAAGATTTAACTATGAAGTTACACTAAACCTCTAAAATAAAGAGAATTTTATATAATTCTATGAAAATATTAAGTAAATGAGATTAGAAGAAAAAAGTAATATAGATTAAAGAATAATCTCACTGCTTGTTTTGTGGATTCGACATATTTAGCTCTATTGTCTTGCATCACAATTTTAAGGCCAGTCAGAGTTGGAGAGGAGCATCATATTTCCCAAAGTGCCTTCAACCATCTCTCATAAATTCCTAGCAATATAGCACTGAACTTAAATTCAACCACTCCAACAGAATTAAATATTAACAGCATGGCCATTTACCACTCTTATTCTAATGTAGGATAAATGGAGAAAATAATGTGGCTGTTACCATTAGAGAAGTAAATAATTCAGCATTTTGAGAAATTTTCTTTGAGTCTCAGAACAAATCAGTGAAGCATAGCTAGCGGCTCGTTAGCTTAGCTTGGTGTAAACTGTTAAAATACGTAAAATAGTGAGTAACACGAGGTGGAAGAGAGTCATTAACAAACACCTGAAGATCAACATTTTATACATGGTATCACTTTTTTACATTTATATGGTTTTAATGCATGCACAGGTTTTAATTAATGCACAGAGCCTGGAGCCAGTTAGCAGATAGCTTTGGTTTGAGATTATAAATATAGAAAATTGCTAACTTTTGATAAATTGGTAGCTTACGGTATATTTGTGTACTTCATATATCTTATATATGCTATAAGGGGGTTTATTAGGAATCTTCAGTGTTTTATTTAGCTTTATATTTTTAGTTATGTTATACAGAACCAGGCTAGCTGCTATAAGTTTTTATGCTAACCTTTCTAGCTGATTACAGCTAGGTATTTACTCTATTTATTTATCAGTTTTTTTTGTCTCTTGAAAAAAAAAAAGTAAATGTCATTTTTTTGCCACCATTGAAATAACTTAAGAATCGTATGTAATTTATTAATTCTCAACATTGTATTTGGCCCTTTGCAGGCAGTCTTGGCCCACCAGAGTGGATGTTCACCAGGATGTCAGCGATGGTTTAGGGGGTCCAGCTATCTCCCACCCTGGAGGGCCGCAGTCCCCTGCCCGTAGTGCTGAGAGCCTCCACAAAGGCCCCAGGCCTAAAACAGCTCTTCTAGATGTCAGCCAGCGGCAGGAAAATCACACTCTAGCATCCAGCCAGCAGCAGCAGGCGCCACAACAAAACCAGGAGAGAGGGCTCAGACCTCTGGCAAAGCCCCACTCCAACCCCCTTAGGTTGGGCTCTCTTTCTTCAGTGGGTCCTGGAAAACCTCGGAGTCCCAGCCTTTTCAGCGTGGAAGAGGATGAGGAAGAAGATGGGGCAGAAGACAAATGTTTGCCCCCCTGTACACTGCCTTCTCAAGTGGTGCTTCGTTGCAAAGCTTCCTCCTCATCGTCGTCTTTGTCCGGTAATCGGCTGACATCTCGTATGAGTGCTCCAATTCTCAACCAGATCCACGAGGAGGATAAGGAGGACGAGGAGGAAGAGGAAGAGAGCAGGGAGTTGCAGGGACTTGGCCCGCCCAAACCCAGCCTGAGCCTCAATCTGAACTCTAGGATACCTTCACCTTCAACACTCATGTCCTCACCTAAAACTGTTGGTGCACTGGCACCAGTTGCCACGTTCACTCCTAGCTCAGAGACTAGCGATGATGATACAGAAAGTCACTATAAACCTGACACAGTAAGTCTAGATGAACATGGGGTTGAGAGAGGAGGGAGGAAAGAGGATGGAGAGAAAACGGGGGCAGGACAGGACAGTCCTTCCAACTGTGCCAGTCCTGGATCAGGGTCAGGCCAAGGTAAAGGCACAGCCAAGGCTGCCAGCGGTCTGGTGGAAAGCCTAAAGCTGATGAGCCTGTGCCTAAGCTCTCAGTTCCACAACTTAACGGGGGGAGGAGGGGGAGGTGGCGGAGGTGTTGCTGCTGGCAGTGCCGGCAGTGCTGGTGGAGATGCCCAGGACCGTCCCATGTGGAGAATGTGCATGGGCGGATCCACTGGTAGTTTAGATAAGGTCTCGCTCCTGGGTGGCCCCTCGCCCAGGGGCAACCTGTACCACCAGCCCCCGCTGGGAGACGCACTGGCAGATCCACTGCTGGAGGGACCCTGCTCGGGCCGATTGAGGCTGGGAGAGCTGGACCTGGCCCGGGAAAACCACAGAAACATGAAGAACCGTGTGCTGCAGATGCCTCTGAGCGACAAGACTCTGTCCGTCAACATTCACCGGAGCCCCAAGGAGGGTCTGCTCTGCACGCCAACCCCACACAGCTGCTGCCAGGTCATCTAGAGCACACCTCCACGCTCCTCCGCTCATATTCCTGCGACCATTATTATTCTGCTTTCATTTCAGTGATGTCACCACATGAATGCGCATTGTTTTTGCATTTCTATTTCTTCCCTTTTGTTTTGACACGCATTGGTGAATAACTGGGAGGTCCAAATGCCAAAAAATTGCACATTTAGAGACAATAAGTCTCCACGGAGGACACTGGGTGCAATGCCAAGTATGTGAAGCACTTTCAGCAGATTCAACAAAACACGGAAGGGGGGGAGGTCCTAACCGGCAGGTGTGTTTAAATGATGATACCGAAGGTGCTCACACTTTCACACTCTTAAATACCGTATGCGCACAACATTCACACCGTCAGCACTCTGGTAAGCCGATGAAAGGGAAAGCTGTAGATTTTTTTTAAAGTATCATGTTACATATCATCTTTTTGTTGTGTTTTGATGCTGTTTTTTAATATAATTTTTAAATTATATTTTGGACATTTTATCTTTTTTTTATTTTAATGCTTTGACTGAAAGAGTTAAGTGTTTTCACTGAAACAAGGACCAATACAGGGTGAAAATGATGACGGTGGCACACAATATTTTGTAGTCTTATCACTGTTTTATTTTTCTATCTCGAACATGCTCTATAGAAAAGGAAATGCACACTCGCTCGTCAAGTCTCTGCAGGTGAACGGCAGAGTTTGTACATATGTGAATATACCTAGCAGTACTCTGTACCTGTAGTATTAATGGTAATGTTGTATTGCGGTAGAAACCTGAATACTAGATCCTAACGCACCATTGTTCGTCATTCCTACTGGATATCCAAGGTTTTGGTTGAACCCAGAGCTCTAAAGCTGTTTAAAGAGATCAGAAATCTCCACCGCCACATAATCAAATTATTAAATGTGCAATGGCAGCTTTTTAAAGTGAAGTGGCCCTGTTTCTATGTCCGGTGGAAGGAAGAAAAATTTAAAACTGGGGCAAACCCAAACCATGTTCATCCCGTAGCTGTCCAGGATCACAGTAGCCACTGTTGTAGCGTATTCCAAGACAACAACAACAACAACAATCGAGGGGTTTAAATGGAAAACAACAGCACCGCCCCTTAAAGTGTCAGCCTGTGTAACTGGATGTGTGACCCACCCCTAGCGGAATATATAACTTGACAGTGCATGTGTTTTTGCTGTAGCAACCTTACTCTTAACCCACTGAGGTCAAGCCACCTATTGTATCTACCTAAGTAACAGATTCAAATGGTCACTTTACTGTAACCTCACAGCAATACCAGCGACTGCAAAATGTACAACAATAATATATGTGCCATAAGATCTGTCTTGAGCATATTGTACTGTATGTATATGATAGAGATCTATTAAAATAAAATGATGTGAATGGAGTCTCGTGTTTGTTTCTCGAATGTTGTAAATGTTTTCTCTTTTGCCATCAGTGTATCAGAGGTTTAAAGCACAGGTTCTATATATAATAGCCATGGTGATGTCACCCGTTGGTTAATGAGGTCTAATAGATATTGTCTTTATTGCCTAATGGCAGTTACTATAAACCTGATTCAGCAAGTATGGTTGAATGTAGTTTCTGAAGTAAAGTTTTTAAAATAAGATGTCTATGCACAGCCAAACAAGCCATGATTTTCAGTCTTTTTCTAATTTTATTGTCATCGACTTTAACATTTAACATGCTAACTGAAGCCTGCAGACTCTGAGCATTGCACTGTGTGATCTTGGGCTGAATTTGCTGGGACATCCACTCGTGGGAAGACTGTGACATTGTGTTAACACACCTGAATGCTCCAGACATGCAAACTGCTAAAACCTCTTTTATGATTATGCTCACACTTGCCGATGATCTGTTAGTCAAGTAAATTTGATTAGCAGCACCTGGCTAGTAAGGACGGACTTAGTTTTTCAGCAGACTGCATAAAGTCCTGTGAAACATTGTTTCTTTTCATATAATATATGTGAGGATCCACTTGGGTCCATGTGGCAGACATTTTCTCCTCACAGTGAACACAGGGCTCTCTGCGGAGATTTCATGTGCCCTCCAAATGACTGCAGACTCTTTCAGGCTGACTATCCGGCTTTAATTTTAAATATTAAAAGAATACTACTCATCCACTGTATATATAGCCTCCTGCATTTTCTCAAGCATAATCCCTATCAAATGTACTCCCAGTGGGCCAGTAAAAATAAACACTTGTGTGAAGCAGGACTTGAAACAAAAATTTGACAAAGTCTTGAGCAAAGTGTGTATACATGCAATAAATCATGCGAACAATAGGGAAATTTTCCACTTGGCCTCTGTACAAGCATCAGCCTCCAATGCTGAACAATGAAGCCAACAAGGTTGTGGCAAAACTGCAGTTCTTCTAATGACCACTTGAGTCTCACTCCAAAAGGGAGACAACCTGTGTTAAAAATGACCAAATAAAGCTTGAAAGCTTGTGTTTACTGCCTGGTATAAAGGCTTGGCTACTGATGAGCCATAAAGTTACATGGATTAAATATGACAATTTATTTATTTGTTTTATTTCAGTCACTCACTTGGATCTCTCTGCCATGGGGCATTTTAAACGAAATTATCTGACAAATTACATGGCTAGCTTTGTGGTATAGGTGGTATAGCCCGTCCAGGAAGTCTGGGTTTCAGTCAGTCAAATTATTGCATATTTTTTATAAATATTTAGTTTTTTAGGAAAGCTCACTAGCCCTAGGTGATAACTTATCTCGGCCACCCTTTGTCCAAATATGGTCATTTCTGGGTCCCAGAAATAAACATGCCCCCAGCCAGAATGATAAGACTGATGCTTCAAAAATGCAGACTGAAAAAGCCAATGACTGATCTCCATCTTTTAGATACAGTTCATGCTTCTGTACAGCGTTGCTTCTTTTTTTAAATATAAGAATTGGCGACCTCTGCTGGTCATCAGAAGAATGAATATTTTAGACATTTCTTGATGCATTCTCAATCATCCAGGAAAGTAAATCTCCAAAAGTTGATTCTGTTCATCTGGACGTAGCGTTTTGTGGGAGAAACGTTTCATCACTCATCCAAGTGACTTCTTCAGTCTGAGCTGACTGCAGGTTTCCCCAATCTTATAAACAGTACATTTGCATAATGACTGAAACCAGCCCACTGAAGGAACAATGGGCTGGGAGCAGTGGCGGTCCTAGCCTGTTTGCCGCCCTGGGCGAACACTCCCTATGTGAAGTAGGTGGAATGAAGACACAGTTCCAAAAGCAAACACACTTCGTCGATTCTGAGAGTGGTCCTGTTGCTGAGGTTGGTGTCATCCTGTAATCTCTTACGGACTACCTCCAACGCTTCCGTGACTGGGATGCAAGTGAAGAGAGATGTAACGTCGTACGAGACCATGGTTACATCTGCCTCCATAATGACATCTCTCACCTTCTCAACAAAATCCAGGGTGTTCTGGATGTGGTTTTCAGAGCTGCCCACCAGCGGGTTGAGGATTGAAGCCAGAAACTTGGAGATGTTATAGGTGACAGAGTTGATCAACTCTGTCACCTATAACATTGTCTTCATTCCAGATATATAAAGTCTCATTCCAGTAAAGGAGGCCATTTACGTGAAAAGGGAAAGACCATCTCTGAATCGAGGAGGGGGCCTAAGGGTACATCTTTCGCCATCTTACAATGCTGTGATTGCAGTCATTCCCCAACTCTCTGTGAATGGTACTCATGGCCATTGATCAGTGGTCTTTGATCAGTGGGTTTTGGTCAGTGGTTGTTGATCAATGATCATGAGAATTTGAATAATTACGATTAAGGAGCTGACCTCCCTGAGCTGAGACTGAAGAAGTCACTTGGATGAGTGACGAAACGTTTCTCCCACAAAGCGCTGCGTCCAGATGAACAGAATCAACTTTTGGAGATTTTAGACACTTCCATTTCGGCTTTGTGCTCATCTTTTACAATACAGTAAGTATTAAATAACTACTATGCAGCCATGTTGTTTGCTAATTAAGGTCAAAAGATGCGATAAAAATCAATGGTGAATGCACTGTTTGGCCAGCGCTGTGCTTCATGTAGTACTTATTTTTATGACTTTTGCCTCCAAAGCTGCCAAACCAAGTCGACTGTGGTTTAATCGTTCAGTTTTAGCACGTGTTCCACTTTTCACACATAATTTCTCCAAGGTAGGTGATATAGCCACACCATAGGAGGTGCACAATTGATGCGACATGTTTTGTGCTTGTTATCTGATGTCTAGAAACAGAAAGAACAGGGAGTTCTGTCTCTGTGGAAGAGGCTTGATTCATCAGAGTGGGCCTGTGTGCGCTAAAAATTGTCCCATTGTGTTTATTTTCCTGAACGGCCACAACCCCTCCACAAACACAGCAGGGAGTTGTAATCTCTGCAACATCTGGGCTACTGTTCCACATCAGCCAGCTGTGAGGAAATCAGATCAGACCAGATGAGCTTTCGGGTCGATGCGTGAACCCGTGCGACCCACAGGCTCAGACACACAGACACTCATACACTCCCGCAGTGATGCCAAGCACAGCAACAGTGACACACGAACAAGCTGCCACAGCAGCCATGTAGGACAACGTACACGCAAATGAGCAGGTGACAAAAATGTCATACGGGGTTTTTTTTTAAAAGAGTGAATGGATCGGCGAGGAGAGTGTGCCAGAGTGAGCATGTCACGTGTGCACCGAGGCACGTGCTGGATTCATTCCTATCATCTACCCACATCGTTCTCAGCAGTGAGAGACGTCACTGCCATCTGATTTCTCTCAATATCTTTCTGTATATTCAAACTCTATTAGTTCCTTCACTAGTTTGTTTTAATATACTGAAATCACTAAACATCTAGAATATGATAATCATGATGTAGAGGGCAAACTTGAATGAGTTTTTCAAGAGTATATCGGGGATCAGCCAGGCTGACTTGCTGAGAGGACCTATCTACACTAACAGCAGCAGATAGATTATCTGGTGATAACCTTTACTGTGACTCTTTGTAATGAGAGTATTCCCCATCCTTGAAGCTGAAATGCTAAACATTAAGAATGGAAAAAAGACTGAAAGGGTCTGCTCCTAATGATGAACAGCATTGCCAGAATACCCCCCCCCCCCCTTTTTTTGTAGCACATTTCTTTCACAGCTCACAGTGTCATTTCTTGGCTGCAGCAAGCACGCTAAGCGCCAACTGTACTTTACCTGCCCAGCACTAAACAGCAGTCAAACTCAGTTAGCCACCAGCTTGTGAACAGTGTTAACTTAGTGGAGCATGCAGCTACTAAAGAGACAGATATTTCTCAACAATACAGAGCTAAAAGGGAGTAGTTATTGAATTTATAACCATCAGATGTGGGTCTATAACTGCTGGGGTGTCATAACTGCCTCCACATCTGGGGTGCAATACATCGAGGCGCTTCCAGCTTATTGTTTCATTAGTATTAAAAAT